TTTGGAGTTAGAATTTAAATAGATAAATAAACATGATGTTGCATGAATGTCTCCTTAAAAAAATACTTAGATGACTTATAAAAATTCATTACACGTATCAATAATACTCAATAATAATAATAATAATGATAGTTGTAGGAGTACTAATAATAATATGTATTCTTTAAATAAAATTTAAATTTTTAAGAATTCAAAATAAATCTTTAAAATTACATTATAGACAATTATTAAAATGTTATTGCTACTTATGTTTAAAATACAAATATTTGTAAATTAGAATTTTTTCAAAAATCTAATATTAAAATAAAAATCTTATAGAAAGCATGGGTTAAAATAAAATTAGAGTATACTCCGTAAAATATACTTTCCTTAGAAAAAATTAAATTGCATATTTTTTTAAAAAAAATTAACTTTATATGTGTCAAGTATAAAGTTAATCAAGTTTTAGATAAACTACAAATTAATTTGAAAGTCATATAAAATACCACATGTACATTAGAAGTTAAGTAGAACGCCACATGTGTACTCACCCCCCAAGTTATCAACATTCTGGCAAGGAGTTTCCCTTTGTTGCCTTTTTTAAAGTCGGCAATCGGCATACATTTTTGTTATATCTCAAAGATAAAGTAAATTTTTGTTACAATATTCAAAGTTGGAGTACCTCCCAAATAACAAAACTATAAAAATATTTAAGGAAATTATCCTAAATAGGAATAAACATTGAGAAAGTATCAAAATATGAGTTTCATTTTTTATTCTTTATATCGGAGTTTGCATTGTGATAATGTGACACTGTACATGAGCATTTTACTATCAACTTTGGTAATGTATATGTTCATGATTGATAATGTAAATTTATTTTACTCTATAACTACTCCCTCCGTCCCAAAAAGATTTACACGTTTCAAAAAATTTTTGTCTCACAATCCCTTACCCATTGTTATTAAAAAACTACTTTTACCCCTTACTTTTTCAAACTTTACATATCACATCATACTTTTTTCCTAATAATCTACACATCACATCCTACTTTTACCCATCACATCAAGGGTATTTTTGGAAAGTCAACACAAAATTATCTTTCCCTTAATTTTAACTCTAGTCAAAATGGATAACACTTTATGGGACGGAGGGAGTACTATTTTGAGAACAATGAGAATAAAAAGTAAAAATCTTATTTGGTATATTTTCAATATTTTACTCCACTATAATCTTTTTTCCAAATACTTAGCTTTTCGAGAAAAAAATGTAAATTCACCAATTTACAAAGTTTGGTGACAACATTCAACAAACTATAATTCAATGGTGAATAAAAAACAATAATTCAATGGAAAAGAGTCGGTACAAAGAGAACAAGTGGAATTGCCAAAAGCCCAAAACATAGCACTAAGACAAACAAGTGACAGTTGCGTTGATTGGACTTAAACGGTGGAGAATAACAAAATGAGGTATGGACTATTTGGAACTTCTATTTCGCCTACCGTGTTGTTTGACAACCATTTCTGAGTAGGTATGGAAGTTTCTACCCTATCTCACCGATAATCGAATCATTCGATCCGATTTAATGGATAAAAGTCTGAAGAAGAAGAAAAAAATGATGGATTGACTAACCATGAATCGGGTCCAATGCGGATGAAGATTTTTCTCATCCGTTACTCGATAATATTAGTTTTATTTTATTGAGTACATAAATTTGTTCTATTTTAATTTTTAATGTACTCCAATTTTGAAAAACCTTTATTTGCATATTACTATGTAGAAAATTGTTTCTTTGTAGGATTCCACCACAAAAACATTAATCTCTTATTTTTAATGATTTTTTCTGTGTTATGCGCTTCATAAGTTGTTCATTTCATAAAATTGATGATTGAAAAATTATTATTTATATTACTCATTTTCAGTCACTTCACCTGTGAAGCATGTAACAGATGATTGATAGATTAAGTGATGAGTATGGAGTTAATGGATGGATGGGGATGGAGTTTCACTCAATTAAAACCTGACCCATTACAATCACATTTACAACAATACTTTCTATGTGTATTCCAAAATACTCGGTAGAAACTATTCTGTATGTGTATATTAATCATAAATGAGCTACCCTCTGAGTTTGTAGATTTTGACTTGATATGCAAAATAGGTAGAATGTGTTTTGATATAAGTGTAATATAAATAGTTTTATTTTAAACATAATTTTGGAATACTAAATTTTTGTAAAATATATCTATATGTAACTCGAAATATTAATGGTCAAAGTTTATATTGGAGATCATGAAAAGTCAAATGAGAAGATTTTTGTCAGACAAAGGAAGTAATAATTATACTCACGCTAGTAAAAATAGAGTAATTTCTCTAAGAGCATGCACAGCGGCGAGGCATTTCCTCGCTCCCTGCGCCACATCAGCTCATTTGGAAAAATTGCCTCGCGTGGCTTAGCCTTCCTCCACGCCAAGCGTGTGAGGCGCGAGGCAGTCCAGGTATTTTTTTTATTTTTTTTTTGTAGAAGAAATAAATTTTTTAAAAAAGAGTACATCTATTTAAAAAAAGATAAACGAAATAATTTTTAATAATTAAAATGCATTAAAAAATCATAAAAATTGACAAAAACAGTTACTTGCCACTGCACGAGATGCCACTCCACTAACTTGCCACACGCTGATTGGACTGACTTTTATTGGTTGAAATGTGCCACATCAACGTGTGGCATTCCATTTTGTTATTTGTCATTGCTTGTGCTCTAACTAACACTAAATGTATTTTGGTCATCAATTAAATAAATATAAGGAGTAGTGGATTCATAAATGGAAATAGCCTGCACGCAAGATTACTACGGGGTCTAGTGTAGATGGACAAAGCTATTTGTACACCAAAACTTGAATCTTATTTTGTAACTCAAAGGCATTAGCCAACATTTTGTGCTAGTGTGATGATTTACAATGACGAAAAATGGCAGTACAAAATTCTTTAAGTGAACTAACATTTTGTGCTAGTGTGAACTGTTAAAATGTTTGTACATTTCTTTGGAGTACAATTTGGAGTATACTTTTTGGTGTACCCTAGCATAGTTGAGTGTAGAGTCAATGCCAAATAATCAATGATTTTTTAAATACTCCAAATAACTTTACGTTCTCTTGTGAATTTTACTTTTAAATTTGTTATATTCTAGTAATTTCAATTATTCCACATATAAATTCTTTATTTTAAATTTAAATATTTCATTTGTCAACATGGTTTTTTTAAGGAAAAATTACCTAAAATATTCCCAACTTTACTCGGTCTTTCAAAAATAATCTCATCTTTCACTGTGATGCATAATAATCCCAACTTTATTGGAATTTGCGAATTTTGGGTTGCCGTTAAGTTTCTAACGGAGGGTTAACGGAAATGCCCGTTTTAGGCAACAAAATGAAAGTTGGGATTATTTTTGATGAATTTTTTTTTTTAATTTTTTTTGAAATTTTTATTTAAATTTTTTGAATTACTTTCAGCCTCCATTTCTTTTTCTTTTTTAAAGATTATTCTTACCTTAGAAAAAAATAGATATAAAAAAAATGAAAATGAGAAAAATAACTAAAACCATACAAAATTAATCAAATAAATAATATAATCAATAGAAATTAAACAGAAACTGGTAAGAAATAAAATAAATATATACGGAGTGGTGGGTTTTAACATTTTACACACTATACGGAGTCTTAATGTACTACGGAGTACTTATTTTTTAAAAGAACAAGCCGTCCGGTAAAGTTGGAATTATTGTAGATAATTTTTGCTAAAAAATAAGAAGTGATATGTTAATACTTTGTATAATGCGCAAAATATTAAAACCCACACGTATATTTTTATTTTACTTTTAACAATTTCAAGTTAGTTTCCATTGATTATCTTATTTATTTTATTATTTTTGTATCATTTTAGTTACATTTCTCATTTTTTCATTTTTTATATCTATTATTTTTATTTTTTAAACTAAGACTAATCTTTAAAAAAGGAAAAAGAAATGATGATGGAGGCAGAATTTTCTTTAAAGAAAAAAAAATGAAAATTCATCAAAAATAATCCCAACTTTCATTTTGTTGCCTAAAACGGACATTTCCGTTAACCCTCCGTTAGAAACTTAACGACGACCCAAAACTGACAAATTTCAGTAAAGTTGGGATTATTATGCATCACAGTGAAACGTGGAATTATTTTTGAAAGGCCGGGTAAAGTTGGGATTATTTTGGGTAATTTTTTCTTTTTTTATTGGGGGAAAATATTTTGTACTCCATTTGTCCATGAGTTTTTGTCCACTTTTGATTTTTTTAGTCAAAACTGATAAATTTTGACTTCAAATTAGATAAAAATGATACTTGATAGTTGATATTGACAAAAATAGTTTTATTAGATTTATTATATCAAATATTTTCAAAATATTATTTCATCTAATTAATACGGAGTATACAATATACATTTTATTTAACTATATCTCAAATGTTGAAAATAATTGACCAAAAATGTCAAAACTGGACAACCACTCATGGACGGAGTAGTACCTTTTAGGGTAATTTAAACTTTTAATGGCGAGAAATATTTCATTTTTTAAGTTTTAGGATAATTTAAGGATATTAATTGCATGAATTAAAATACTAGGGAGTATATGTGCTCTAAAATGGATATCACGGTTCAAAAAATGTGTAAAATCTTGCTCCGTATCACTTTTAAAATCTATTTAATTAAAATTGGTATAGAAATAAAATAAATACAAGTTAGATTGTCCAAAAATAGAATTTATCAAAAACTACACTCGATCTAAAACAAGAGTTATTTTATTTTATTAAGTCATCGATGAGATGAATACATAAAAACAAAAAGAAAAAAATTCAAGATGCTGATTTATTTTGTTTATTAATTAGTGTGTTAAAAAACTTTCAATATAGTGAAATAAACAAAACAAAAAAAGAGGGTAAAAAAGACAAATAATAGAACGATGATGACTTTCTACTGGTACTATTACTTACTTGGAGTAAAGAGGAGAGGTGATGATGACTGTCGACGATCTCCGCCGACAGGACAACCACAAAAGTACTTCCCCGGTGCGCCGCAATGTACGGCTCCGCCTCCCTCATCGCCCTCACAAACAGCTCCTCCTCCGCTTCTTCATCAACAGCTATCTGTTCCGGCGCCGTGGAGCCACCGCCGCCGCTCCCCCTGATTTTGTCACGACGACAGAGCCTCAGCTTCAACGAGAGAGATCCCGCACTCCGGCCAGTTCTCGTCCAGGGTAAAGAAAAGGATTTCGATAAATATGGGACACGGTGGCGGCCTCCCGACCGTACGGAAAGCCGCCACCATATTTGGTCCACCATGGTCGCCATATGTCGCCGCCGCAGGAAAATCGGAGAATTTGCAGAAGACAGACTGAATTGAAGTTGGCGAATTTGTTAAGCCCGTACGTCTGATTTTATTTGTGTCGCGTCGGGTTGCTTTTTTGGACGGGTAGAAATACTAACTAAAAACTACTCATTTCATGTCATGACCAGGAATTTACATAAATACCACTAAAACATAATTACTTTTCCTAAATAGTATTACATATGTTTTTTTTCAATATAGCACTTTTAGTCATTATTCATTAGTCATTATTCAAGTAAATATTTGTCATCACTGGTCATTATGGACATTATTAAGTGCTATTTAGGAAAGAAAACAATCTAAGTGCTATTTAGAAAAATGACTTAAGTTTTAGTGTTATTTGGTATAAATATTTCTTTCATGAAACGATAATTAGAGAGAAAGTAAATTGAACGTAATTTTAATTACAAATGGTTTACCAGCACAGAAGTCTTATGTTAAACATATTTATCTCTCATTAGAATTGTCGGAAATCAAATTCTATCGAGTGTTACTCTAGTGTTATGGATTAATTCTTTGTGACCATAAAACAAAAAGCAAATTAATTGGGAAGTGGTGTGATGGATTTGACTTTAGAGATTGATTTATGAATTCATAGGCACTCCACTATTTGATGGTGGCACTCCACCTATGTGTAATATTTTCCAGCCATGGACACTTATGAAATTTCTTGGGATGATAATGATATCCCTAACTGAAATAGACCTGTCGTCTCAAAAACGTACAAAATGACCAAGTGTGACACAAACATGCTACAACACAAACAACATAGAGAAATGAATGATCTATAAGATGCCATAACATCTTTGTGTCACTTATGAATAGGTAGAAAAATGAAAGCAATAAACGACAAAGTAAAATATTTATATAGTTCAGAGTAAAGTCTCCTACGTTTGTGGGGCATACACTCGTATAACAGCTCTTTTACCAAGAGATTCTATATAATGCATTGACTAATAATCTATTTACGACTGATTTGATGACAATCTCTATTTATGCATATCTCCACATACAACTTGTTACACCTTCTCAAAGCTCTACTTCTAGAATGTGCATGCTATCAACCCTTCTTCCAAATCAGCAATGTACTCAACATCTTGATATATAGTACGACAAACACATCCATCACGTGTAGTGAACAAGTTTGTCCCGCTGTTTCAAGATTTCCAAGATGAAATCCAGCTTCTCTCACACATGCAAGATATAAACTTATTTGGCGTGACCTCTTTTTACATATTTGAAAGGTAACCATGCAAGGATAGGCAGCGGAATATGAAAATTTTAACATCCTAACATGATTATCTTGCCCAGAATCACGTACTAAAACTTATAGTGAGTAAGAAATTTATACCTTTCTCTGTAAGCGGTAAAAACGAAGAAGTCGTAGGAAGAGCGTTGAAAGTGCAAACGTAACCGTTCAAGCGTCCGGTCTCCAACTTTGACACACAAACAACGCCGGAGTCTACCACAATCTTTATGCTAGTAAAGATTATAGTAGTATAAAATATAAAGATTAAAATTGGGATAATAATAATCTTGTATATTTCTATGGAAAATATTTCAAATAATATTTAGAAAATATTATAGATATTTTCTACACACAAAATGATATTAATGGAACCAAACTAATATTTTTCTCTTTCTTTAAAATGTAATGGCCGAAAGTTTCTTCTCTCACCTCAATTAAAAGTGTTGTATCATTATATAGACAGTTAAAGAGGATTTAAAAACAACTATACACTTAATGACAAATTAGGAAATTTCCTACATCTTTAAAATCCAAAGTCAAAAGTGTTTTTGTCCTCATAAACATCACATGGCCGTAATTGAAGATTTGAGAAAGTGAGAAGGATTTTCAAAATTCTTCTCCACTTAAATGTTCACAGTGTATTTTATTTGACACCAAAAATTAATATAAAATTAATTTTAAATCAAATAAAAATACCAATATCATTTTTAAACAAGTATACAAATATACTTTAAATAGTTTATTTCAAAATAATTATTTTCATAATTAAAATGACAAATCAAAATAAAATATTCAACATATAATATATATATATTTCGGTATTTATATATATAAATATATCACCGAATGTTTTACATATATATAATATTATATTCCAAAATATTTTATTTTACTATTTTACAAATATACAAATTACTTATTATCCCATTGTTTAATCCTACTCCTTAAATTGTCCAAAGTGTGTGACCCGTATAGGCACTTATAAAGCTGGCCATAGTATTGGCTCTGCACCAATACTATAAACAATAAGCGGTATCTAGCAACACATTATTGCCCCGAGATTATAAGTTAAGACGTTTGCACTGTCAAAACCTTTCCACGACTCAGATTCCGTGTAACTGTATCCCTTTGTCTCAATGCCTAAACTTAATGCAAGGGATTAATAAAATCCAACTTGTATCCATTAAGTCATTCACTGATTTATCAAGTCCGACTAATAGGAACAGACGTCATAAAAGCATCTCAGCATGACCATGCAATTTCCTCAGTCATAACTTATCAGTGGGCCCCATAAGACATTAATCTCTTAAAAAGAGTAGTGACAAATCCTATGTACGTAATCTACGTTTCTGAATGCGCGCTGTGGCATACCCAAAACAAAACCTGTATACCATCCTTATTTCATATGGCTTAGGACGATGCATCAAAGTATGCGGGTTCACATATGCAGAAAATGTAATACTTCAAGTCGAAGGATAGTTACACCCGTGGTCGCGCTAAAGATGCTTAGAGCATGAACTAAAAATTCAAGCAACATCTTTAGGACGGGTCAGTCCGGCAGCCTATTATCTCTAGATAATATCTGCCCATGTGCGGATGCGAACACACCGTCATTGACTATGAGACTAAGTCAAACATCCAACACACACTAGTCTCACATGCATTAACGATATCCCACTCTCGTTAATACTTGACTATGGACATTTAGACAAATATTTATTTCAAGATGTTAGTCTCATCAGCACAATAACACTATCTGATAAACATCTTTAAATATAAATCTAGGAATATAATATTTGTTTACATTAGCATGAGATGTGTAAACATATTATATCTGCATATACATGATAGAATAATGATAAACAGTTGGCCATCAGGGCACAACTCCAACAATATTAACTCTCACATATAGCCTCTCTGAATCTCTCTTGTAAAATCAGCGAGCTAATATGTGAGAAGAGGCGCAGGTTATATGGTTAAAGACATAACCCTAGTGAAATTCGATCGTTTATGAGTCTTTTGTCCCAGTTAGTTATTCTGCTCAAACTTGCAAACACGAAAACGAAAGAGTTCAAGCAACCTCAGGACTCTTTAAAATATACTCCCTCTGTTCTATAAAAGTGTTCCTATTTTAACTTTGTGTAAAAATAAAGAAGTGTTAAATTATACTCCCTCCGTCCAAGAATAAACTTCCTACTCTACCTTTTTTTTTCGTCCGGAAAAAATCTTCCTACTCTACTTTTTCATACCCATTCTTCCAAAATTACCCTTCTTCTCCTTCCCCATCTCCCCTCTCTTTTCTACTCCTCAATCGCCGCAACCCCCCCCCCTCTATATCTTTTCTTCTTTCCTACTTCTCTATCTCTCTCTCTTCCCCTCTCTCATTCTTTTTCTTTTCTCAAGATTTCCTTCTTCCCCAAGGCCAAATCTGGCCTTATCTTCATCTCTCTCCCCCCCTTCTCTCTTCCCCCTTTTTTTCTGGTTTCTTCGCTTTCCTTTCTCGACCAGATCTGGCCATATGCTCTCTTCCCGCTCCACCTTCTTCTTCTTCTTCTCCTTCTCCTTCTTGTAGATTTGTGTTAGATCCGTGGCTGTGGGGGCAGGACAACGGTGGCGGTGCAGTGGTGGTGAGGCTGAGGCAACGATGGGCCGGCGATGACGCTGGTGCAGCGGTGGGGCAGCAGTGGGTCAGGGGTAGCAGTGGGGTGGTGGGGCGGTGGGGCGGTGGGGCGGTGGAGGGGCGGCGGCAGTGGGGGGCAAAAGGAGGGTAATTTGGACATTTTGATGATGTATTCACCCCTCACTAAAAATGAGGAAAAGTCAAAGTAGAAAGCTTATTCCCGGACGGAGGGAGTAGTTGACTTCCAATTTTACCCTTGATATGATTAGTAAAAGTAAGATGTGATGAATTGAGTATTAGTGAAAAAATATGATGTGATAGGTAGGGTATGAAAAAGTAAGGGTAAAAGTGGTTTTTTAATAGAAAGTAGAAGTGTTTTATTAGAAGTAAAAAAAATGAAAGAAGAAGTTTTTGTTTATCAATTAAAAACTCCGACGTGTAAGTAACCTTCTTTGGATAGGATTTTGCTGCACAACACACGTTCAAGTAACATAATGACTAATAAGATATTGCATCTCTATATTAAAGCTAAAACGCCAAGACAAAACAATAACTAAGGCTTATTTGTTTATCAAAAAATAATGCCAATTAAAGTTACAAAATGGAATCCGTTCTACACCTAACTTAACTTTTAATACTTTCTCCATTCACCATAGACCTTCTCAAATTTACTTTTTGTAGTTTTTAAGTGGAATTGGAAAAATGTGAAAATTTACTAAAATACTCTTAATGAAAGTTGTAACACCTTAATCTGTCCAAGTCTGCAGCCCCTTTCGGACTAAAGTATTAACTTTGTAACGTCGAAATTTCAAAACATTTAAAACTTTAGCTAACACAAATGTGCAAAATATTTTGGAATAACATCGGTCCTCCAAAGACGGAAATGACGAAGGTTTGTCTTGTTCCTTTGTCTTCCTCATTTGACAAGCATCTTCCGAGTGCTGACCTTTGTTTTCTTACAGGCTGAATGGATCTTATCCAGTCTTAGCTTGGTACTTAAATTATGAGTTATAAATAAATACAAAGAAGGTAATGGATTGTGACTTGTGAATTTATTTGATGACTGTTATGTGATATTATATTGTGTACTTATGTGTATGATATTGTATGAAGTTATGAGCTAGAGAGTTTATCTATGTGTGTAGTCGAAACGTTAGATATTTCTCACTTAGCTTCAATGCTGAGCGTGTAGCCCTTTTTCCCATTTGCTACATGTGGGTAACATGATGAACGATGAGTAAGAAAATAATCTGAAGGGCAGCGAGGCAAGAAGATGGATGGATGTTGGATGGAAGAATTATCTAGTTTAATTATTGCATTTAAATTTATTATATTTTTAAGGGCAAGAACCCGAAGTTGTATTTCAGGTTAAGTACTTTAAGCTTTCGCACTGTTTTGTTAACTCCGATTAATGTTTTAAATAATGTTTTGAGTTAAATGTTTTAAATTGTTTTGCAAATTACTAGACTCGTACCCGTGCGTTGCACGGAGTGAAAATTTATTTTAAATTAATATACAATATTTTTAAGAATTAAAGAGTATTTCAAAGAGTGAGACTAATTTTAAACTATTCCAAATTAGTAGAAAAAACAAAAGTATTTTCAAAATACTTCTTTATAAATCACATTAGAGCATCTTTCGAAAAATCTTAATAAGTTGATTCACCTAGAAAAGATGATGTAAAATTTATGTGAAAACATGTGAATTCAAAGTTCTTAATAACCTTTTTCACCAACAAAAGATTAATGTGAAGCTTATTAGAACGCATGTGAAGCACCAATTACTTCATTTTTCAAAGAAGTTTTGTGAAGCAACTATATCATACCTATGAAGTCCCCCAAAGTAGGGGTGAGCGTAATACCGTATGGTACGAAATTTGGTTCGTACCAATACCGTACCAAATATTTCGGTTCGGTATGGAATTAAATCCTATCGATCTCGATCCTGAAGTATCGGTTTGGGAAGTTTTGGTTTCGGTAAATATTGGGTTGAATATATATATATATATATATATATATATATATATATATATATATATATAGACACACACACACACACACGTACTTAATTTACACTTTAAAATTTACAAAACTGTTTATTTTAAAAAAATTGAAAGTACGAAATATAAACAATTGAAAAATTAATATTTAAATGCAAGAAATACTTAAAAAACGTAGTTTAACTTGTACTACACTTCATATTTAACAGAAAGATTGAACAAATAATAAAAAAATAGTATTTTAATAATGTCTGTTAATTTTTTATATTCATGTACAAAAAATTAAAATTCAAATAAATGATTGTTTAGTTAAAAGATTGTTTGTAATTCATCGATACTTGAATTGACTTTTCAAATCAATTTATTTTTTAATGAAGAATTATTATAAAAAATATTGTTATTTTTATAACATATTTGTATATATGTTTGGTTTGGATATTTCGGTATGAGAAGTTGTCTTGTATCGATCCCAAATACCAAACTGACTATTCAATTTGATACAATACAATTCCCATTTTTTAGTTTATCTTTTCATTTTCTCTCCTTTTTTTCTGAAAAGGTCTTTTTATTTTTGTAAAAAAATGTTTTATAATGTTTTAAGAAGTCAAAATTATTTGTATTTTAAATAAAAATAAATGAAATAAAAAATAGCATACATCCATCTTAAATAATTTTTCTTTTGTTTTCAAATATAAAAAGTAAAAGCTTATTTGGAACTCATCTTAACAAATATTAGCCTTGAGATTTCACTAATCAATAAATTTTCTTAAGTCTTTTAAAAGTGAAATTGAGAAAAATCCTAAGTTAAATCCCAACCACAATCTATTGTCAATTAATACACAATTTTGGCTAATAACACTTCACTGTGTTTACAGGATTATGGCAAGATTATTTTTTTGAAGATTCTACCGAAACCGTAA